GCCGCGACCTGGATGTCCGTTCTCTCTCGCCTTTGCTTCAATTTTTTGTTGTTGTTGTTGGTCTTTGGTTCTCTCAACAAGCTCCCTCCGAAGTTTCGTCGGTGTTGTCTGCCTCTGGACACTTGGAAAAAGAATATCCCAAGTTTCGTCGGTGATGTTTGCCTCGGGACACTTGGACACCGAGTCCCCCGCGTTTTCCTGGTTCGCCTGTTTGCCAACTATTGTTGTCTTAATTTTTTTTTGTTTTAGTTCCATCGTGCCGCAGAAGTGTTGCATACGCTTGGTGCTTCGGGATCCCATCCCGTGGCGTCGCCTTCTCGCGTGGATTTTCGTCGTCACCCACACTTCGTTCTGCTTCGTCTCCATCATCGCCACCTTCGGGCGACGCCTTCATCACAGTAGCGCCCCTGAGTCGTCGTCTTGTTGTGTGCATCACTACGACTTTCTGTGTTTTATGTCTTTGAACGGTGCGTATCGCCAGCGAGCCATGGCGCAGTTCGTCGACCGCCTCTCTTGCATTAATCGCTTGTGCTTTGCATCGTTGGTCCTCATTAGGTCTTGCCCCTGCCGTCTCCTTACACGGGTTGGGTACCCTGGCACGCTGGCCATCGTTCTCCGTGCCTTTGCCTGTCGTTCTTTTCTCCTGCCCTTCGTTAACGTCCTAGATTGCGTTGAGTTTTCCCTTTGCGTCGCGTCCAGTATCAAAGACCGCATTCGTTCGGAAATTTGTTTGGGTTTTGAGTTTGGTCACCGTAGTTTGGACTCGCTCGGGTAGTCACCCTCATTCCTCCAGCGGTGATACGCGCGGGTGCGCGTAAAAGAGTGGTGTGTGGCGTCTGAGTATTGATTTTTTTTTTCCTGTCGTCGTCTGTTCAGGATGATAGCGTGCTCTGCCGCAACATATATTCTTCGTAGCTTTATCCCTTCAAGCGTTGTCATTGAGCTGTCGATGTTCCGTCTCGTGACCGTTCGCATTCTTCATCTCAATGATGGTGTGGGGGGTTCATTCGGGATACTTCCATAACTCACCCTCCTTTTGGATGTTTTGTGAAGAGTCTTATCTTCGATTCATGATCATAAATCATCAGCTAAATCTTACTGTAGCTTTAGGATTTGAGCATTGATTTTGAGGATATAATCTGCGTAGACTATATGATATTCAGGGTGGGCTAGTGTTGAGGGGTGTGGCTCCTAGCATGAATAGGGTACATCTTGTTGTTGATAGGATGCGGGTCGGTCAGGAGGTATACCTTTCTGACCCCTACCCCCTTAGAATTGTCTACTCTGTGTACCCCCTGAGATGAAGTTGGATCCACACTTCATTTCAGACCTTTGCTGATCGTCTCTCAGCAATAAAAAGCAACTTTTCCATCTCAACGTGGTCGTGGACAAGCGTGTCAACGACAGAACCTTCTTCTATCTGTAGGAACAAGCTACCGCCCACGGCTTCACTCCTTGAAAGGGGTTCGTTGACGTTCTGCGGTGTTGGCTGAAACTGCTGTTGTTAAAGAACATCATCAGCAGTGTTGTCTTTTATTGCGGTACGCTCTCATATCCATTGTCGAGAGACAGGTGAAGCGATGGACGCGTTCACAAACGATACGTCTGGCCGTCTCTTACCTCCACCACTTTTCATTCTCTTGTCTCTTCTGTCTTCCTCGGTTTTCCTGCTCTCTCCTCGCAAGCTCTAGCCGTTTCTTCCTGTGCAAAGGGCCGTGCCCGCCATCGAGTTACGTATGAGGGGGGGGTACACTAGAGAAGCAAACTTCGGCCTCGAAGGATGCGGCTTTCAGCGTATGTTCACGTTTCCTGAACGAATTGAGCTTCATCCTATACGTTGTTTGTCAACCCAGTCCTCATGTGACATAAGAAAGCAGCACTTGGAAATGATTGGTGCTGTAGGTTCTTTTACAAGGAACCTACATCCATTGTGTGTGTAGACTAGACTTCGTAATCTATCGCGGTGACAAATGGCTAAACGTATTAACCGCCCCCAGCGGCACCTTTTTTCTTCTTCCATCTGCCGCTCTTCTTCTATCGTCGGTACGCCGTCCACGTGCACATCAGCTGGGTCCAGCTCGCCATCCTGCAAGGAATACATAGTCGAGAAGTACCAATCAGCACATCATCAACATACATCACCGGTCGCCCCGGTGGTCTAGTGGGTAACTTCGCAGCCTGCTAAGGGCCAGGTCATGGGTTCGAGTCCCGGCAGAGTGAGTGTTTTTTCTCAGTTAATATATCCTGGTCTAGGATGAAGGCGACGCGTTGCCAAGCTCGTTGTTAGTAAACCATAATCGACTTCGTAGGTCGCGAGGGAAGGGATTGCTGTACCCTTCTCGCGATAAAAATACCCCAGGCAGGAACCGCAGGAGGGGGTCCAGCCCCCCCCCCTCCTATGTGACCCCTCCTATGTGGCCCCGGTTGGGTCGCCTAGCTAGTAGAAGTGGAGGATAGGGGCCAGAGGGGCAGACGACAGAATCCGATTATGGGAGAAAAACTATACTCCAGCATAATATAATATATTAACAGTCTGGTCTAGGCTATCACACACACACACGAAATGGCGGACAACGACTGGCAGTGTGGCGAGAGGTGCCGACTGATCGTTGCTTCACTGGAGGGTTGGTAAGGGGGGAAACTAAACAAACGCATATCCCCACGTGGCTGGTCGTTGTAAGATACACTTCTGCAGCAGCGTGTCCTACGATGATCGTTGTCGGGACGCACGACCAGAGACGTGCAGATTCTTTCAACGGCGGGGCCCCAGAATCTGATGCGGTGAGGTGGTATACATCTGCAATCTTCGCATGATGCGAGCATAAAACGGGTTGCAACATTACAACCTAACAAGTTTTTGTGCCGACGATTTGTCATTTCCTCTCACGCAGCTGCCCCCGCCTCGAGGCCCTCTTCCCCTTACCTTCATTGCTTGGATCGCGGCGTTCACCGCGTCGACTTTCGTAATAAAGCTCTCGATTTCTCCATCCTTGATGCCGCTACGCTTTTCGAAGTCTAGCATGCGGTCCACGTCAAATCCCCCCCCGGGTTTCCCTGCCGTGGCCATGGCTATGGCGTCTGCACGTGCCGAGACACCGCCGAGTTGCCGTGTTATGATGATGCGGGAAATAGGAAAGCAAGACTAAAGATATGCAAGATCCAGGATCTTTGAGGCTCCGCGAAATGCAGCAAGAGAGGGAGGGGTGTGAGGTCGAACATTTTTCCCCCGCATCATGGCCCGTCGCTGGGTCGCTGCACCACCACAACCATCCAACAAGCAAGTTGCAGTTTGAACAAGCAAAGCCTAGGAGAGCATGACGCTCTGGAGGCTGGCCGCCTCATCCCTCCTGCTAGCCTCGGCCAATAGCTTCGTGCCGCCACCAGCTTCCACTCCCCAGCAAGTGCCGTCAAGGGCTGCTGCTGCTGCTGCTGCTGCTGCTGCAACAACGCGCAGCGGTTGTTGCAGTCATGCAAGCCCACCAAGAGCAACAGCGGATGCAACATCATCGGGCACCATACCTCGCCGTGCCGCGCTCGGCCGCCTAAGCGCCGCGGCCGAAGGGAACGATGGTCTGGGAGTGGGCGACGACGATGACGGGTGGGACGGAAACCTCGACGCACTCGACGCTCAGCTGCGGCGTGAGGCTGGACCAACCCAGCAGCAGCAACAGGGACAAGCGGCCGCGCTGGCAGCAGCCGGCTTCGATGACGGCTTCAGCGCCCTGGATGACCTGCTTGGCGTGGAGGATTCTCCTTCTGCTTCGCCCAGGGCGCCCCGGAGTTCAAGGAGCAACGACGTCGACATCGACCCGTTTGCCAAGCTGGATTCCCCGGTGATTACCGACTCCTTGGACGACTTGCTGAGCGAACTCCCAGCCGCACCCGCAGCTGGGAACCAGGCGGCCGCAGGCAGGCGGCCGACAGCAGCAGCAGCAGGAGCAACGCGTACTAGCACGCCTCCAGCACCCTCCTCTTCCTCCGCGAGCGGAACAGCAGCAGTGTCAGAGTCCTGGTTGGACGACCTGTTGGACCTCGACAACGAAAACCTTGAGGTCTCTTCTTCCTCCGGCGGCAAGGCTGCCGCCGCCGCCGCCGCCGGTCCGTCGTCTGCCAGCGGCATCCTGGAATCGTTGATCGACGACGTCACCGGGGGCGGCGGCGGTGGTGGTGACGGCCCCCGCTCTGCTGCCAAAGTCCCAGACCGCCCCGTCACGGGGGACGCGGTGCCGATTCCCCCGTCCAATCCGGCCGACACCTCCGCGGCTCTGGACGACTGGCTGAACGACCTCCTCGAAGAGGACAACAAAAACAAGAACAACCAGGAAAGGACAAAATTGTCAAAGCCCGCGGCACCGTTCCAGCAGGAGCAGCGACTCCGAGCGAGTCTCGAGGACGACCCGTGGGACTTCGCAGCGAAAGAGGGCGACTCCAGCGGCAGCTTCGGCAGCGGCAGCGGCAGCTTCGGCAGCGGCAGCGGCAGCTTCGGCGACGTTGTCACGGGGTCGAACCAGCTGGAAGGCTGGAAGGCCAACACCGTTAGCAGCGCAGACGCTCCCAGGAGAAGCAACGTGATGGGACGCCGCGCGCGAGGCACCGGCAGCAGCAGCACCAGCGGTAGCCCCGGGGGCGGTGCGGCCGCCGAAGGGACAAGTCGACCATGGGACCCAGAGAGCGGGAGCGAAGAGGGGGCGGGAGGGCGGTCGAGCGACTGGGGGACGGGGGACGCTTGGAAGAGCAAGGGCGAGAGCGGCGTAAGCTGGTGGGACAAGGACGGCCCCGGCATGGGGATGGAGGAAACTACGGGGCGGCGGGGGCAGGGGAAGCGGGAGTTAGACCCCGTTGAGGAGGCGCAAAGGGCGTGCGCCGCGGACCTGAAGAAGCTTGGCCAGCGGGGCCAGTGGGAGGACGCGACGAGAGCGTTGGTCGGAGCGAGGGTGCGCGGAGTGCCCGTGAACGTGTACATGTACAACAGGTGTGGTCGGCTGCGGACGAGTCAATCGCTTGGCGCGATTCACTGCTCGTGTTCATGCTCAACCTATCGTTGACATCAGTATGGGTAGTGTGGTATCGTTGTGTTTTATCGCTACGATAAAGAGGTTCGGTTGTTGATGGATTCTGGGCTTTGTGTGTGTGTTTGGGAGCGTCTTCGATGTCCCTCCGGGAGCACTGTACGCCAGACGAAGCTGTTGCAGGTACGCCACCATCGTAGGATCCCAAGCTCTTTCTTGACAGAGTGGTAGGAACTTGCTGGTCTTTCTCTCATCCTACCGCTGTAGTGGGCAAAACACTGTGCAAAACATCCGCTCTGTACAAACCGCCGCTCTTCCGTTCCTCACGCGCGCTGCATGCGCCATGATGCCACCCCGCCCGCCCTCAACAGTGCGATCAGTGCGGTCAGCAAGGCCGGGCGGTGGAAGGAGGCCATGTCCATGATGAAGCAGATGGAGAAGGACGGCATTGCGTTCGACGAGTTCACTTACAGCTCTGTCATCGTTGCCTGCGGGAGGGGGGGGCAGCCGAGGAAGGCGTTAGAGTTGCTGGACGAGATGGTCCAAGTGCACGGTGAGCCGCGCGGCAATAAGTCCGTTGAAAGTTGTTTGAATTTTCCCCCCGGCGTTTTGGTCTATGCCACTACATACGCGCCGGCCCGCTCATCGGAAACCACATATCAGGGTCGGCCTGCTTTCATTTGCACGTTGTGGGGCAAAGGTCAAGCAACAGTATTGTAATAGTTGCAGAGAAGGATGCTCTTGAACGGATACACTGTATGTAGCTGCCACAGAGGGGAGTATTACTTACAACCCGTCACAACTTCGAGAGGGAGAGTACCGGATTCCGTAGTGCTACATTGCATAGGAGAGACATGAAAAACAAAATGATCAGCAAGCATTTTATAGTTTGGCGGCTGTGATGACAGAACCGTGGAGAGTGCTAGGAACGGTGGTCCGTATCGACAAGATACGCGTGTTTTTAAGGTCAAGCGTCTTCAAAAGGAAACTATAGCCTTGAAAAGTCGTGGCCCACCCCCCACCCCCCCCTATCTCTTCGCTCGGGCAATGTCCTCCTCTACACTGTACAGGGATTGCACCGGACATGATATGCTACGGCGCGGCCATCCAGGCCTGTGGAGACGCAGGGTTAACAGAAGAGGCGTTGTCGCTGATGGATAAGATGTCACGCGAGGGCCTACTGCCAGACAAGACGGCCTACAATTCGGCCATCATCGCCGTGAGTATTTGCAGGACTTGGGGTCGTATGCGAACACATAGATAGCCTCTCGCCCATCCCGTCGCATGTCTTCCCTTGTCCACAGAAGACCTTGACTGCTGTTGAGAATTTCACACACATCTGTTTGGGGGCGGTTTTATTTGCCAAACTTGAAGCTGTGGTTGTTCTGTGGCGAGCGATGGTTGCTATAGATGGCACGTGCTGATTGAGCGCGGACATGCGACAGTATAGCGCGACTGGTGTCCATGCACAAAAGTTGTGCTGTCGCACTCGGCTTCCCGTCCCTCGTCGGGAGGAATGGAACGGACAGCAGCCTCGCGACCGACCGGGATCATTCCTGGCGAAAAACAAGCGTGTTTGTGTGTGCACGCCTTGAAAACGATTACTTACTGCTGTAGCGATGTTCATCGCGGTCCTGCGCTGGGCGGAGGAGGTGGGTGCCGCGCGTGTAACGGCTCCTTGGCCCTGTCTTGCCTGATTGCCTAAGAGAGCGAAAGGCCACCGTCCTCTGTGCCCTCGCGTAGCAAGCGAGCGAGTGAGTGCAGTTAAGTTTAAGGTTTAGGCAGTTTACCTGGATAACAACAGTGAATGGGTCCTGGGCAGGAGACACGAGACAGCACCGCGAAAAGCAGATTTAAGAATTTCGAGTGCTCTACCTCTCCGGGGTTGCGTTGTTTTTCGGGGCCCTCACGGAAAGCAAAGGAATATGACCCCCGCTCCCCCCCTATAGTCTATTCACCACTACGTCGCTCCCTCCGTGCAGTGTGGCGAGAAGGGGCAGTGGGAAAAGGCGTTGGACCTTCTCGGAGAAATGAGGAGTAAGGGGTTGAGACCGGACCAGAACAGCTACCGCTTCGCAATGCAGGTGCGTTGGACTGACTACTGACCACTCGTATTTTTTCTGGGTGGTGTCGCCGCAGTTGTTGCTGCTGATAATGTTGTTACTTTTCTGTTCCTGTCGATGTGTGGTGTGACGTGTGCTTTTTCTCCTCGCCGTTGTGACGTTGATTGATTCTTGTTGTCGTTGTCGTTGTCGTCGTCGTCATTGTTGAACGCATCGCAAGCCCGTCTCCAGCGTCGAGAACGTGATTACTCGAGACGGGCTTCACAACGAACACATTTACACGAAAAGTGGCAAGAGATGCCGTCGAGACGGACTTCCCACGGAACGCCGTTGACGCCATGTTCCCTTTCACCGCCAAAACCGCCCTCACACTCCCATACGACATATGGCATGACACTCCGTCCCTCTCTTTCATGCGGACGTCTCTTGAAATTGTTGCAGTCGTGGGTCCGACATAAGAGCATAAGAGGGAACCTCTAATGTAGGAGGGTAGCTCCAATATCAGAGGGTCGTAATCGGTTGTCACGGAGTCGACCCGATATTGTGTTGTCGGGTACCCTCTTATTCTGGTAAAAGAGGGCCCTCCGATATAAGAGGGTCTAGGGCCTTGGTCACGCCACCATCTTCTGTCGGAGACACGACTGCTGCATGTCGAAACCCTTTTGAAAGTATCATGTCCTTCGCAGTTGAAAAAAATCCCCTCTCGCGTGTGACGTCATCACCGAAGGCGTGCTCGACCGGGGGCAGGTGGGAGAGGGCGTTACAGCTGTTGCATGAGATGGAGGAAGACGGTTCCACGCCGGACGTGGCCGCGTTTCAGACCGCTCTGGACGCGTTGAAGGACGCCGCCCAGTGGGAGAAGGCGATGGACCTTATCTCGGAGATGGACGAGCTTGGGGTGAGACGAACGAACTCTCCGCTAGGTAGACCAATCAGAAACACCCCGAAGTTTTGGAGTGATTACCTCGGAACAATGTTGGGTTTGGGGGGGGGGGGGGGGGGGG